TACTCTCAATGCTTGAACTATTTTCCAGAGGCTTTCAAACTCGATTTAATAAGAAATTTACAAATTATTCTAGTATTGACATGGACAAAGATTCATAATTCCAATTCTGAGCCTCAGATTCTCTGTCAGTTTGTTTTATATAATGGAAAGACCCTCAATTGCGAATTCAGAAAGTTTGAAGTTACTCTCAATGCTTGAACTATTTTCCAGAGGCTTTCAAACTCGATTTAATAAGAAATTTACAAATTATTCTAGTATTGACATGGACAAAGATTCATAATTCCAATTCTGAGCCTCAGATTCTCTGTTAGTTTGTTTTATATAATGGAAAGACCCTCAATTGCGAATTCAGAAAGTTTGAAGTTACTCTCAATGCTTGAACTATTTTCCAGAGGCTTTCAAACTCGATTTAATAAGAAATTTACAAATTATTCTAGTATTGACATGGACAAAGATTCATAATTCCAATTCTGAGCCTCAGATTCTCTGTCAGTTTGTTTTATATAATGGAAAGACCCTCAATTGCGAATTCAGAAAGTTTAAAGTTGATCTGAATGCTTGAACTATTTTCCAGAGGCTTTCAAACTCGATTTAATAAGAAATTTACAAATTATTCTAGTATTGACATGGACAAAGATTCATAATTCCAATTCTGAGCCTCAGATTCTCTGTCAGTTTGTTTTATATAATGGAAAGACCCTCAATTGCGAATTCAGAAAGTTTGAAGTTGATCTGAATGCTTGAACTATTTTCCAGAGGCTTTCAAATTCGATTTAATAAGAAATTTACAAATTCTTCTAGTATTGACATGGACAAAGATTCATAATTCCAATTCTGAGCCTCAGATTAATAAGAAATTTACATATTTTTCTAGTATTGAAATGGACAAAGATTCATAATTTCAATTCCAAACCTCAGATTCTCTTCCAGTTTGTTTAATATAATGGAAAGACCCTCAATTGCAAATCCAGAAAGTTTGAAGTTGTTCTGAATGCTTGAACTATTTTCCAGAGTCTCTCAAACTCGACCCTGATTGTATGATCGGAGTCGGATCGGAAGAATGTATGATAGATGTGTCCCGGGCTTAAGCGCTATACCTTCAAACTATTTACCACAGGCAAACCAAAACATAGTAAGTTTACGAAATTGGGACAATGCAACAATTAATGAAATAGTCAATGTTATAAGAAATCTTAAGCCAGGCAAGTGCCCAGGTAACAACAAACTAAGTATCGGTATAATTAAAGAATTTTGCTGTCAAATGTCAAATATCTCCACTCTTGTGCATGCTCACAAACCTTAAATTCAGAGAAGCAACCATTCCCAATATGTTGAAGATGGCAAAGGTCATTCCATTATTCAAGGGAGGAGATAGTACCTCAGTAAACAACTACCGTCCGATCTCACTTTTGACTGCTATTTCAAAGGTGTTGGAGATTTGTGTCAATAATGCCTTTCTAATTTCAACCAGTTTCTAGTACCCTCGTCAATATGGCTTTAGGGAAAACAGCAGCATATCTTCAGCAACAACAGATTTGTTGAATAACATTTACAATAGAATTGATAAAAAGTTCAAGTGTGTTTTGGTCTCCTTAGATTTAAAAAAAGCGTTTGACACTCTGTAAACCATCAGGGTATTGTTGTCCATTCTTGAAAAGTCTGGTATAAGTGGTTCAGTTCTGCTGTGGTTTCGGGATTACTTGAATGGTACTAATGGTAGAACCCAGCTTGTTGCTTGCGGTGGTAAGAGGAGAGCTATTGGAGACATCCAGCATGGTGTCCTGCAAAGCTCTATCCTTGGACCGTCTTTATTCTTGATCTACATAAACTCCATTTCACACCTTTTTGGAGAACCATGTTTATATGTAGATGATACATGCCCATTATATTCTGATAGGAGTCTGGTTGAAATGAAAAATGCCATTGAGATTGAGCGAGACTTGGAGAGAGTGAGTGACTGGTTATGCTTTCATAAATTAACTTTAAATATAGAAAAATCTTGTTACATAATGGTTATTTCCAAGAGTGATTATTGGCCAAACTTAGTGATAACAACATTTTAAAACCAATTACTACAGCACAGTTATTGTATTAAGCATTTGGGACTTGACTGAACCTAACATTCCTAACTATTTATTTTAATATAAAACTTGGGTGTTTTATGTTTTTGTTGTTTTTGCTATAACAACTTTGACAAACAGTTTGACAGATACCCATTACCCAACATAACGGATCTCTTGAAGTAGCTGGAACGCTGGCAGTATTGCACTGCCCTAGACAACGACATCGAAAAAACCGCATTCAGCACAGAAAACGGGCATTATAAGTTCTTGCGCATGCCCTTTGGTTTGAAGAACGCGCCGGCTACATTCCAAAGAATTATGGATGATATTCTATATTCCAATATATTGAGACAACAACAAGGTGGCTAAAAAGCACTGGGAATGCTGGAGGTGGAACAGGGGAAATCGTTATCTTTCGTTCTCTATTCAACCTTGGAGCTTTTCTAGACATTTCATTCTATTGCATGAAAATTGGCCTGTTGTTGACCTGTCAAACCTGTATATAGGTAATTCATTTTTTGGCCATTCCATTAGCTTATTTATAAGTTTGTTTCAAGCTGTGTGAAAATAACAAGACACTATGTTGTAGAGAAGAAAGAATCTTGAAACTTTTGTATGAACACTTTTTTCTAAAGTTAATAGATTTTGAAATATTCATTAAATAAGTTTAAATTTTTTTTACATTTTCTCTTATATCTCGGAAACGAATAAAAACTTGGCAACCCTGTGTACTTACCTTCAATGGATACTAAAATCTGCCACTTTTATCTATCTAATTTAACCTACTTCGTCCCTCTTACCGGTTTGGAGATAGCAATAGTGGTATCACTTAAAACGGACACCCTGTATAAAGCAAAATTAGAAAGAAAAAAAAATACATAAAAGATGGGCCCCGGGAAAATCCTTGCGGAGGGGCCCCGAATTTGAAGTTACGCTTCTGCTAGGGACTGGGTAGATGCTGATTAATAAGTTACTAATTGAATAATTAGTGTTGGGGGAGGAAGTTGGATAGCGATTTTGGGTTTCGTTTGTCATCAATGTGGTCTGGATTGTTCCGTTCCAAGGTGATTGTTCCGTTTTCCTGGTCAAGACCGGAAATCTGGCACTAGAGGGCATCTTGGAAAAAAAAATGGAATTCTGGTAAATTTTTCATATTGGGCTCACCTGGTGGGTCGCCGAAAGTGGGGTCGTTCTTTTGAATTCGCACATTGAGCGGGCAACAAGTGACAGATTTTACCAGCGGTCTTCTTTGCTAAGTTCCTTGGAACATCCACCTTTTGAAGGATTTTGGAGGCGTTGGCAACTCAAGTGGTTGCTGGCTTGATTATTGGTTTTGGGGTGGAACTTGGTTTTGGTCGTCGTATTTGTAAGCCAACCACTCGGAATTTTCTGGAGACGAGGGTCTGCGCCATTTTGTTGAATTATCGATGCGAGAGGAGAGCACGTTTTGTTCAACTAGCCCAATTTGTGACCAGGTGAATTTGAACGTTTTTGTCAGTCTTAATTTGCCGTTTTCGTTGTCAATGTTTGGATTAGCATATCGGTGATTTTGTAAATATTTGGAGTTCTATAAAGGGAAGGAAGGGGGCAATTTGACCTCCACGAGGGCCATTTGTCAGTGGAAGGCTCATTGGTCGTTTTCGGGAGGGGCATTGGTGGGCTCGTTAGTTGAGGGGAATTGTTTTTAAGAAGAAACTTACAGGTTTCGGGGGATTTTCCTACATTTTAGATTAATATGTATTATATAATTATGGGGGGGGGTTCTAAGGTCTAGGAATTTTTCCCCTTTTAGAGTTTTTTCTTTAGGATACTAGATTGTACCTTCCATTGGGTTTTTCTCTTTCGTTTTTGTGAGGTGTCAGAGTACACTGAATTGAAACCGAAATGTAACTTAAGAAGGGAATGTTGATGGGGTCTGTTATCAGGGCTGTGAGGCTGTTAGGAGGAGACAGCAATAGAAATGCATGTTTAGACTGCAGACAGGACCACAAGGGGGTGATGTACCCGTTGATTTAATAACGTTTCTTAATTACTTTTTATTATTAATAATTGTAAGTCTTATATCTTACTTGGTACGTTTCCAAGTTTGTTTTACTGCCTTCATTATTACAATGGGTGTACTGCACTAATGATTTTTAATTGACTATATTTAAGGTGACATTTTGTACAAACCCACCCCGGTATACCATGGTATAATAAGTGTGCACAGGTTTTAATTAATATTATTATTCTTTTATTCCTTAATTGTTCACTTTCACTCTCATTGGGGTAAGGTGGTCAAACATTTATTGATAACTCTTGAATTTATTAGAGTATCTTATGAGACCATTACAAATTGGTCCTTTCTACCTTTTGGTAATTTTGACATTTACATTTACATTTAATAATATTATATACTGTGTTATTTTATATAGTATATTGCCTTCTATAGTTTAAGGGTTAATTTTTGCGCAACAAATTGTTCTGAAATAACTCTGAAGTTTCTAAATTGTTCCATAATGCTCCTGAAAATTTTGATTTGGGAAAGCGTTTTGTAACTTTTGAACCTGAATTCTAAGATTCTGGCACTTTTCAAAATGTTTCTGAAGATTCTAGTGTTTTGGAGCATCCTAAAACGGATTTCAAACTTCTAAATCGCTCCAAAAATCATTAAACATCAAATAGAAAATTGGCGGATTTCTGGTAGCATAAAATTTTCATAGAGTTGCTACATCGAAAAATTGATTGGTTTAAATCAAGAGCCAGGAATAATCAAAATTTGAACATTGAAGATTTTATATTTAATTTAAATCATGAGCTGTCAACCAACAAAAATGTATCAAGCAAAATTGATTCTTTGACAAAATGCTGATTAAAGTTTCCTTAATAAAATGCAAAGTAGATATTATTTTAAGATTATAATTGGAGGGCAAATTCTAATCTAATTCAGAAAATTACCTTTAACAAAAGCCACCCCTAGGGTCACATCCACCATACTCCGATACAAGTTTGATTCAATATAATTCAAAGCATTTTCGATACCGTGCCTGACAGCAGTTATAACTTTGAAATCTAGTATTTGATCACATTGCACACTAAACACTAACAAAAGCAACACTAATGTTGTCTCTTTGCTGGACATTTTTCAAGAAAAGCTAAACTCAACTTCCAAGTGCTTTTATATATTGTTTTTTGAAGCCAAATGGTTTGCCAGCGGCGTTACTTTTGTGGTTGTTTGTTTGTTATTTTTACTTTGTATTGTTTAAAGTGTTATTGGATGTTGATTGGTATAACAAAAGGTGTCTTAATTATTATTGTGTAATACTAACAGGTGTACGCTCATGATGAGAACTTTTGTTTAGTGAAAATGTATATACCTATAAACAATAATAATAATAATTAATAAGGTTTTTCTTTACAAACAATTAAAAAAGACACTGATTTAGTTAATTAATTTTTATTTGTCTTGGAAATGATTAATAAAGTGATTTCAATTACCTTTGTAGGATCAAAAAAAAGAAGCCAACCTAATGTCGCTTGTTTGTTCTTTTACTGGGAAAAAGGAAAATAGGGCGGAAAAGCCTGGCCTCTCCATCAATGGTGAGGATTTGAAAAACAGAACAGGTAAGCAAAAGCGATAAATTCTAATTGGAGATAGAATTGAGCAGGTTGCGGTATTTTTACAAATGGATTCAATGGGGTTTTGGCTGATTTAGATTGATTGGTGAACAATTTTCTGGAAAAATTTATCAATAAACTCAAAATAATAATCTTTTAAAAAATATCCGATGATCTCAATGACCCCCTGTTGCTTATGTAGCAGGGGTTTTTTAAATATTTGTTCAAAAAAGTCTTATGAGAAGGTCGCTTTTCTTCCAGAATTTCTAAAATTTACCTGCATCATCATCTAAAGCAAAAAACAAAACATTACTTTAAAATTTATATTAATTCAAGATCCTAATTTAACTTTTCCAGCCCCAACCACAATCCATCTTCAGGTCGAATATTAATTCCCATTCCGCGTTTCAATTTGACCGGTACTTGAGTTTTTTCGTTAACCACCAGCCTCAATCTTTTAAGTAAACAAAAAAACACAATTTTCAACTCTAGCAAAGCAAACCTGGACCCTATACAGCTCCTAGGCCCCTGGCCGAAACCCAAAAACGTATACGGAGTCAATTTATTACGATTTTCTGCACTGAATCTTTCCGGAATGAATTGTTCAGGTTCCGGATAGTATTTTGGGTCATGGTGAATTGCGTAAGTAGGAATTTGAATTGCCATGCCTTTAGGCACTATTAATTCAGCTTCAGAAACCAATTTTGGTTTGATAATGTAAGTTTTGGTGCATTCTCGGCCCACTACAACAAATGGGGGCCATTTACGTAAAGCCTCACTTATAACCATGTCCATGTATGGCATATTGGCTATAACTTCAAAAGTTACTTGATTTGTGGCTAAAATTTCTTGTCTCAGTTTGTCTTGTACTTGTTGATTGACAGCCAATTCGTATGCAGTAAATGTCATTAGGGAGGATACTGAATCAAATCCTGCAAAGAAAAATATGACCGCTTGGGCTATGATGTCTTCGTTGGTGATTTTGAGGGCTTCTGCTTTGGGTATGTATTCTGTGGTAGCTGTAAAGCCTATATCAGTATTCATGTTGGTGTTGGGTTCTTCTTTGTCTATGCCCTTTTTGGCTTCCATTAGAATTTGAAGCATGTCAGGTCTATGAATACCTTTAGCTTCACGAGTTGTTATAGTTTCATTGATTAAATTGCCGAAAAATTCATAGACTTCTTTGCGAAATGTTGACAAATTGAAAAACTACAAAACAGAAAAGTATTAATTAAGCAGCTATTAGAATCTATTCACAATCTAAAGTCCAAAGGTACAGGTAAAATGTATCACCTTTCAATGCTATTTGATAAGGAACGGTGATAAATTTACTTGTACTTCTGGACTATACAGATTGTGAATAGAATATAACTATATATTTACTCGGTAAATTTTCGGTGATGCTTGAAAGAGTAACATTTTCAAAACAGTTTTGAAACTCAACTGAGAAATTTCTTTGCCCATTTTGAAAAATTCATTATCCGGCTCGTTTAGGGAATCCACTTTGACTCCAAAAGATGTTGAGGCAATTACATCAATTGTAAATCTAAAAACGAATGTACCTATATTAGGTATTTTTCAATAAGTTTTTTGCACACAAAAATTACCGTGTAAATGCATCTTTCATCTCGATATCCAAAATCTTATTGTTTTTTTGTTGCTTTTCAAAATAATTGACGAAATCCTCAGCAGCTTCAGTTACCAAATTGAACATGATTTTCATTTTGCTGCTGGTAAATGAGCCTGTTAATGTTGATCTCATTTTTCTCCATTCTTCACCTAAATTTACCTGTTATTGTTTGTATTATCGTCATTTTTAGAATAGTATAGTATTTCCAAACTCAATTGGAACAAGGTACCAACTGGTCACTGAAAATTTCCATAAGAAATGCAGTTATAAATTATGTTCACCTTGTTCCAATTGACTTTGGAAGAACTATACCTTTAAGACCCAGCAAATTTTTGGCAAACAAAGGATCGGCTTTAGGATCAGCCATAGCGACGTGATCAACGAAATGATCAAAATCCTTCACGGTAATTCTTCTTATCAAATCCGGATCCCTTACAACCAATTTTGGTTTCATAAACTGGTAAATTCCATAATAGCTACAAAATTGTTTAGATATTGGGTGGTCCGAGTAAAAACGAAGTATTTGCTACTACTACGAGTAAGTATAAATATATTTTCCCTAGTATTTACTTTAAATGAAGTAGATACTCAGTGGCGGCTCGTGACTATTTCAAGTGAGGAGGTTAAAAAATAATGAATTACGGTAAGGTAACCACTGTGCAGCAGGCAAAATTTGTTTTGGGGTGCCCATAGGAAACGAAATACGTTAACATACCTATATAAACCTAAGAGCATTATAAGCAGTGTTGCCAGAGGTGGTACAATTGTACCAGGTTTGGTACTATTCGTTTTGAAAAAGTACGCTGGTACGACATTGGCATATTTGGTACAATCCAAATCCTACTGCCTAAATAGTCTAATTAACTTGTATTTCTGTATCCAATTTTTGGTTGATGTGGTTTGTGTTTAGTTAAGGTTTTCGGCAGAAAATAAAGAAAACTCAAAGCCTCGTACTTTAAATCGATTTTCCTGATCGAAAAAGTGGAAAATCCAAAGAAACCCATTGAAAAATGACATTCCAAAGCTTACTTGATGAAACTTAAGTTTTTGTTACTTACCCCGTTGAGAAACTTGAAATTTTTGATACAAAATGAAGGAAACTCAAAGCCTCGTACTTTAAATCCGATCGAAAACAGCCCGGAACAAGGTTGTTACAGACCAATTTTTGAATGTCTAGTTTTTCACATTAAAATTGTGTAGCAATTCAAGCAATTGTGTACTGTCAATTTGACAATTGAATAGGCATCTGACAGCAGACGCTCGTGCTTCGTGAGCACAACAAACCAAAAATTTCACAGCGTTTGACAGCAGATTGCTAGAAAACCTTTTTAGTTAAGCGCAAGAGGTTGCCTGGTAATGGGTCTCTTGATGACGCATCTGGAGGTGCCTTATGAAGATTTGCATTATGTTGAGGCACCCCAGATGACGTCATGAAGTTATCAGGTAACCTTGAGCCTAGCGTAGCCACCATTAATGGCAGCTACAGTCAGAGATAAAGTTTGCTTTTTTTTTGAAAAATAAAAGTCGAAATGACATTATGTTGGCAATACAATGTAAAAAACTCTGACACTCAACGCTTGCGATATCTTTTGTCACTTTGCGGAAGTGGCTAGATTCACTACCGTTTCAAGAATTTTGAGTTACGGAATAAGTGATTTATCCATTGTGTAGCAATTCTGTGCAGTTTATTAAAAAGTGTAGCAATCAGATGAAATTGGTCATTGGGGTGCACCGGTATTATCGATAGTCCAATTGTGTAGCAAACTACACAATTGTATAGCTTGTAACAACCCTGGCCCGGAAAAGTGGAAAATTTGAGGAAAAACTGGATAAAAATGTAAACACGTCAAATGAAAATGTCCGACTGTCAAAAATGACAAATGATATTTATTACAAGGCCTCCTTGATTGAAGTTAACCATAAGCGGTGTTGCTACATCGAAAGCATTTTAAATGGAATTTTGCTAATTATGGCTTTTAAAAGTGGAAATTTTTGCTAGAAAATGAAGAAAACCCAAAGCCTCGTATGTTAAATCCCTTTTTTCTATTAAAAATCCCCAGAAAAGTCGAAAATTCGAGGAAAAACTGGCAAAAAATCACAAGCTGTCACTTCAAAATGGCCGACTAAAAGCAACATTGCCAACATTACATTTCGGAAAACAAAAATAACATTTAAAATGAATTTTTTGTTTAAAATTCAATTAAAAACTGTTAAATAATTATTGAATAATGATTATCTATAATAATTAAAATTCTCTAGATAAAGCATCGGAAACTTGTTTTTAGTTTAATTTCAATGAAAATGACATTACAAGGTTTACTTGTTGATTATAGTGAGTAAGACAAAGAAAACGATAAAGTAGTGTATGTTCACAAAAACCACCGTTTCCTGAAAAAAGTAAAAATCTTAAGAAAACCCAATAGAAAACCAACATTCCAAAGTCAACTTGATAAAAAGTTTTAGAATATTCCCGACTCTTTGATTGGGCACTAAAAATCGCATTTTGAATATTCCCGGTTTTTGATTGGCTCCAAATTATCCGCTGACCAATAGAATTATAGATTGGGCTCCGTGATTAAAATAATTCTGTGGAAAGTGGAAAATTCGAAGAGAAACTGGATAAAAACACTCGAAAATGGCCGACTGTCTAAAATGCCAAATGACATTACAATACAAGACCTACTTGATCAAAAGCGACGTTGCCATAATTATAATCTCAAACATAATGTTTTTCCAGATTTTCGTGATTAAAACAAAGAAGAAGATAAGGTAGGATACATTAGTAAAAAACCAAAAGCGATTATAAATGAGTAAGACAAAGAGCGAGATAAAGTAGGAAATAATTTAAATGATCAGTTGGTCGAGCCAAACTATCATCAGAGTAAATTTTCGATTGTTCCCGGTTCAAACACTTGGAATAATTACTCAATTTTTTTTTAACAACTGACAAACCTAAATACAATATTATGACTTTTGACAATTGACGAGTTAATTTTCAGGACCACCTACGATTGTTATGACTTTTTTTGTCAATTGACAGCCTTGTGATTCAGATTGAGGCCTACAACAGCAATGTTGCCACATTTTAACAGTAATTTTGGAGCATTTGTAATTGTAAATGTCAAAGAAAGAGAAATCAAGAAACGATTGTTATGATGTTGTAGGCTGATTGAAAATTTTAACTTTTGACAAGACTGTAACGCTAGAGGATTGAAATGGCGTCTTTTTTTTAATCATGAGCCCGAAGGGCGAGAGTGTTTTCAATCTTGATACCACAGGGCAACAAAGAAACGCCATTTTGTATCAAGTTTTAAAGAAAACAAGGCCTACTTTGAAACGTCAATTTTTTAACGTTTGTTGTATCATAAGCAGTATTGCCATATGTTTTTTTTCAAATTTCCAGCCTGAATGGCCGGTGTTGTTTTAATTACGTTACGAGCCCGAAGGGCCGAGGTTATACGAACCGCAAGGGCCGGAGTTACATGAGTCTAAGCCCCTCCATGGGGCACCGTTTTCGAGAAAATCGGCCTCGAAAATTTTAAGAAAATTACAAAGAATTTCTTGCGAAAAACAATAGAAATTATAGAGAAAGAAAGAAAAAAAAATAATACAGTGATGGATGGACTAAAATTTGATAACAATGAACCGGCAGTACTGGTAGAAGATGTGAAGGCATTTTTGAACCAACAATTAATATTACACCTCAAATCAGTTACCAGGATAGCAGAGAGAACCTGGATAATAGAACTACAAAATGAAGTGGATAAGAGGAAAATCATGGAAAATAAAACAAAACTAAAGGACATGAGAGGAGAAAGAGTTTTTATAAATGATGATATTACCAAGCAAGAAAGGGAAAAACAAAAAGAAATAAGAATACTTGCAAATCAGGAAAGGCAAAAAAAGGAAAGAAGTAAGTACAGATAGGATTCAATGATAACGGTAAATGTGTCAGTGATGCCAACCTAGGGAATTTATCCCTAGATCCAGGGATATTAACACTTATTAGGGATTGAGGGGAGATTTTCCAGAAACCAGGCCAAACTAGGGATATTTTTTTGTTAGCTTTCTGCTGTGGTATTACTGGTATTTACTGTTTATTTAGATTTATTGCATTCTTTTTTACGCCGGTTGATGCATTGATGAGCAGTCTATCTTTGTCTAGTTCATAGAAAATCGAAATGACTTTATCATAATGGTGGATAATTCGAAGAAAAAAAAAGCGCCTCTTGTAGGTACCCCTAGATCAAAAAAAAAAACAAATTAGTTAATTGTCAATACTGTCAATCTTCTGTCAATAGTGTATTCCTATTCCTGCCAATGTTTTTAATTTTCCCATTTTTTATGACAACATTGAAAATCAGAAGTCATCAAATTAAATTGCGATCATGTTTAGCCACGTAGGTTACGTGAATGGGCCATATTAAAAGAAGGGGAAAACCGGAGAGGAATTTATGAGTCATTTTTGCCTGATTTAGGGATATTTTACTTTGGAGTAGGGATTTTTCACATCAGTGAGTTGGCATCACTGGTGGAAATGGGATATTATCAAAAAACTGAATAGCCAAAAGAACAATACAAGGAATGGGGAAAACAACACAGCAATGGAATGGACTATGAATAAGGAAGTTAGTAATAACAAGAAAACTGAGGAAATATTTAAAATGGGTATATTATTAGAAGCATGTTCGGGAAAGAAAAAAAACTAGGAGAAGAATTCGAAAACACAGACTTGAAACTGCTAGCCATAACAGAAACAAAGAAGAAGGGGCAAGGAATGATAAATATGGATAATGGCCCATATACTTGTGTACAGTGGAATTAAGAAAGAAGAAAGAGCAGCAGCGGGTGTTACTTGCATACAGTGTTGCCAGATGGAAAAAATAAAAAATGGTACTTTTATTATTCTCATTTCTGAAGGTCTGTTGCAACAGGTCAAAAACCGTCCCAACCAAAAACCGTTTCGAAACCACTCTGTATACGAAATTCGGATGCTACGCACAAAGTTTTGCTGAATTATGACAAGTACGGTTCCCTACTGTATTGGAACAAAGCTTATGATTAGCCCATGTTAGCCTTAAAAAACGAAAATCCGATTAGGATTAGATTAATGACGTTATGAGGTTAGCTGGAATGATCTTAAATGAAAACAGTAAAATACAATAGAGGATTTCAAGCGTTTGACCGGTCAGTTACACTTGACAGATAAACAATGAAGTGAACGTCATTTGTTAACTAGGTCTTGAATGATGTAAAATCCAAGTAGTCAATCGCTTGAATACCCCCAATGTTTTATTAAATGGTATATGCAAAAAATGGTAACTGTCATCAAAAAATGGTAGAAAAATGGAAAATGGTATCCTCAAATTTTTTGCAGGTATCACGGAAGAAAAAATGGTATAAATACCATTTAAATGGTATATCTGGCAACGCTGCTTGCATAATTCACAAAGACAAAAAAAAGAAAATGGAACAA